ATTAGAGGGGGTATCCATAGCTTGCGCATCAAAGGGTTAAAAGGGCAAAGAGTGAGAGGGCAGAGATGATTGTGACAAATCCTTCACAAATCTGAGAACCTCAATCTACAAGAGAGCATTGTATTACTGAGTTGTAACACGTTTAGTTTAACCTACTATTATAGGTAAATTCACTGAAAAATTAAATCTGTATAAAAAAAGTTTCTTTCATGGAACACAAAAGATATTCTGAAGAACATTGGGAGCCAAACAACATTGGAGCACATTGACTTCCATTGTATGGACATAAGAACACTAAGACATTTCTCAAAATATATTATTTTATGTTCCATAGAAGAAAGGGTGAGTATATGATGATATTTTTCATTTCTGAGTGGACTATCCTTTCAATTCATTCAGTGGTTAAATTGATGAGAAACATCATTCTCCTGAAGGGACAGCAGCTGTTGAAACACTGTAAAAAATATGAAAAACGTATTGTACTCCTACTACTATAATAATAACTTTGAGGTACAAAATCAACATTTCCCTTCTGGCTTATTATTTGGTTTGTGATCAAGTCAATGCATGGTAGATAAGAGAACATAGGCTACATCATCTAATTCAGCAGATTATCTTGTCTAATAAGAAATATAACATATCTTTCAAACATTTACCTAAAATATAAATTAATAAATAGAAATATGTTTATTTAATATCATGTAAACATACATATATTTCCTGTTGACTTACTGGACTAATAAAAACTCTACAAAGCGGCACAGTGTATAGACCGACATTGCACAATTGTGAAAGTGACTAACACGCACACACTGTCTGTTATTTATTATTATCATATTTATGCACTTGTTTCATATTGATTTTTTTTATTATTATTATTGCCAAAGATAAGTATAAGTCATGGATTTCAAAACAACTTTAAGCTGTAGTGGATAAATGTGCTGAAATTCTATCATAGTCTAAGTTACGGACATAAAAGCAAAAAGTATTACAACACTCCTGGGCTCTTGTTAATTTAATCTTAATGTTTTTTTTTTTAAAACATCAAACAAGGTCTCACCTCTAAAGTCAGATCGTCAACCTCCTGCTCCTTCTTTTCTCTCTGAACTGTCCCCAAACGACTCTGGCTCACCAGTGTGTTCTGACTGTAGGGCCTGACAAACTTCACGTCACTCATCCTTGAATCAGTGGTCCCGCACATTTCATAATTATACACATGCTGTAATGTGCCGTCTGCGTAGACTGGAGGATAATATGGAATTACAGGTAGATTTGCCCCTGATTTACAAAATAACTTATTCTGCCTCCATCTGTAGATTTTCACTGAGATGATTGAAATAATCGAGACTATGAAGAGCAGGGAGACCACAGCAAGAGCCAAGACTAAATAAAAAGTCAGGTTGTCGTTATATTGTTTTTCATGCGTAAAGTCTGTGAACTCTGACAGCACTTCAGGAAAACTGTCAGCCACAGCCACGTTAATGGAGACCACAGCTGAGCGAGAGGGCTGTCCGTTATCCTCCACAACAACAGTGAGTTTCTGTTTGACAGCATCTTTATCAGTCACTTGTCGCACAGTTCTTATTTCTCCATTCTGTAAACCCACTTCAAACAGCGCTCTGTCTGTAGCTTTCTGTAGTTTATAGGAGAGCCAGGCATTCTGTCCATAGTCCACATCAACAGCCACCACTTTAGTGACGAGATATCCAACATCTGCAGCACGAGGCACAATCTCAGCCACCACTGAACCGCCAGTCTGTACTGGATACAGAACCTGAGGAGCGTTGTCATTCTGATCTTGGATGATGATGTTTAGAGTCACATTGTTTGATAAAGGGGGAGAGCCCCCGTCTTGAGCTTTGACTTGCATTTTGAATGATTTCAGCTGTTCATAATCAAAAGACTTTTCTGCATAGATTACTCCAGTTTCTGGATTTATAGAAATGTAAGATGCCAGAGGTGCTCCATTCAAATCTCCATCGATAAGAAAATATGAAACCTTCGCATTTGGCCCCCAGTCCATGTCTTCTGCTTTGACAGTCAGAATAGTTGTAGATGGCGGGTTATTTTCAGCTATAAAGGCATTATATGATTCCTGTTTAAACTGAGGCCCGTGATCATTTACATCAGATATCTTAAGGTTCAAAATCTCTTTGGTTGAAAGAGGTGGGTTTCCCCCGTCTACAGCAGTTACAGTGATATTGTACTCTCCTGTCTGTTCCCTGTCTAGTTCTGAGTCTGTCACCAGATTGTAATAATTAGTTAATGAGGACATGATTTTAAAAGGAGAGTTCAGATCAATAGAACATGTAATCTTACTGTTGTCACCTGAATCCAGATCCTGTACATTTATCATTGCTATAACAGTTCCAGGTGCTGCGTCTTCAGATACTGCACTGGAAAAAGACATTATTGTAATTTTGGGCGTGTTATCGTTGATGTCAATGACGTCAATAATTATCTCACTCGAGTCAGTCAAACCTCCGTGATCTTTAGCTTTGACTTTGATTTTAAACTGCTTGTGTTTTTCATAATCTATATCACCTATGACTTTAACCTCACCAGAATCCGCATCAATGGAGAACAAAGCTTTTACCGCAGATGTCGCGTGCTCAAAATAGTACTGAATGCCGTGACTGGACTCGTCAGCGTCGGTCGCACTGACTTTAGTTACGATTGTGCTTTTAGGAGCATTTTCAACAACTGATGTTTTATAAGACGACTGGCTAAATACAGGCGCATTGTCATTGACATCGAGAACAATAATATTAATCTCTACAGTTGCAGACCTTTGTGGTTTTCCACCATCAAAAGCCGTCAGAATTAAGTTATGATGCTTTTTCTTTTCTCTATCTAGGGCAGAATGAAGAACCATCTCGACGTTTTTACTGCCATCCTCACTATTCTGAATGTGTAGCTTAAAATGATCGGTGGGCTGAAGTGTATATTTCTGTAGCGTGTTCACTCCCACGTCTGGATCTATTGCGCTCTCTAAAGGAAATCGCGCACCCAGTACCGCTAATTCGCTGATTTCTTGTTCAATTTTAGATTTCGGAAAGACAGGGCTGTTGTCATTGATGTCCTGTATGTCAACGGTCACTCGATAAAGCTCCATCGGATTATCAAAAATGACATCAAAACTGACACTACAGGCTGATATCTCTCCACATAGCTCTTCTCTGTCAATTTTATTCTTAACAACCAGATGCCCGTTCTCCTTGTCCAGTCCAATGTACTCACTGCTGTCCGCGGTGAAAACACGCGCTTTTCCTGAAATCAGTCTCTTCGGTTCAAGCCCAAGGTCCGAGGCAATATTTCCAACAAACGAGCCCACTGGCATTTCCTCAGGTATAGAATAACGAATCTGTCCGGTCACACAAGAGGAAAATGAAGCCAACGCGCATACTGTATAGAAGAATAGCGACCCATGTAACCAGCCTTTACCTCCCGACTCCATTTTTGATCAACAAAGATCGAGCAGAAGCATCCAAAAAAGCTAAATGTACGGTCAGTTATATGTTTACCGCAAATTCCGTCTTCGTTCGGGTTAAAGAATCCGGGGACCAATTTTAACTCGATTTGGTCTGCTGTGTAGCAACCAATGTTAGTTGTTGACGCTATCTGAATTATGCCTCTGCTTTGGGTTTTGTTAAACGGAGGGATACAAGCACACACCAAAAAGACTACAGAGGTTGAACAGCGTCACTTAGAGTCCTAAATGCAGCACTACAGAATTGTCACTTAATTAAAAATACAAATCAAGGACTTTAAAGAGTTAAAAAGCATAAAGTTATGCGCTCTGTTGTATAACACTGCTTAAAGTAAAAAAATAAATAAAAAAAATGAGTTCCTCTGTTAGGGGACAGAGGGGGTAAATGCTTCACAGGTCGGAGAACCTCAAAAATATCGGAGACTGGGAGAGAGATTAAGTTGAGTTTAACCAAAATGCGTATAATCTGATTCAGTATATTTTCCTCTTCCATTTATATAACATCTACTTAAAAAAAATCATCCATACATGTTAAAAAAAATGCTCAAGGAGACAGGAAGGGCTGTAACATGACTTTCTACATTTAATTCTACTGGGCTCACAAGGACTGCACAAAATGAGATGATGTACCAATACATATGAAATCTGCAAGCAAATGATAGTAGAGCTTTCCTCAGAACTAACTTTACTTTTCTAAGACACTTTTTAAAATCGTTTTGGCTCCACTTTATTTCGATATTCCACTTTAGACATTCTACTACCTATAAGTAACATTTCAACTACATGTCAACTAACTCTCATTAGAGTATTAGACTGTAGTAGACTGTTAGGTTATGGTTAGGTGTTAGGGTTCATGTTAGTAGAATAAGTTGACTTGTAGTTGCAAAGTTACTTATAGTCAGTAGAATATCTGTTGGGGGACCAACAAAATAAAGTGTTAACAGATATTAAGCAGACAGTCTACTACTCTAATGACAGTTAGTTGACATGTAGTTGCAAAGTAACTTATAGTTAGTAGAATGTCTAAAGTAGACTATCAAAATAAAGTGTTATCATTGTTTTTAACTGACTGGTCTTAAAGCCATTATTTATTGGTTCATATTTTTAAAACTAAGAAACTTTCACTTTATGAAATGTTTTCATTGAAAAGTGTGTGTGTGTGTGTGTGTGTGTGCTATATTTCTTTAAAGTAAACACCACTTGTTTTGATATTATGTTATATTATGCAAATACAGTACATTTAGAATTATGGCTTAAATGTCCAAATACATTTTGGGGCCACTGTATAAGTGATAGAATTGACACAACTGTGAGAGTGAATAGGACATGTAAACGTAATATCAATGTAATATATTTTTATATATTAAATTATTTTTACTCCAATTCCGAGTAATTAAATTAGGTATAAGTCAAGAAAAAAAAACGTTTAATTTGTAATACATTAACTTGGGGAACTTACTGACACAAAGCACAATAAAAATACTGTTTTATATAATTTTTTCCATTTGAATTCAGATGAGATGATTTTAAAAAATCAAACAAGGTCTCACCTCTAAAGTCAGGTCATCAACCTCCTGCTCCTTCTTTTCTCTCTGAACTGTCCCCAAACGACTCTGGCTCACCAGTGTGTTCTGACTGTAGGGCCTGACAAACTTCACGTCACTCATCCTTGAATCAGTGGTCCCGCACATTTCATAATTATACACATGCTGTAATGTGCCGTCTGCGTAGACTGGAGGATAATATGGAATTACAGGTAGATTTGCCCCTGATTTACAAAATAACTTATTCTGCCTCCATCTGTAGATTTTCACTGAGATGATTGAAATAATCGAGACTATGAAGAGCAGGGAGACCACAGCAAGAGCCAAGACTAAATAAAAAGTCAGGTTGTCGTTATATTGTTTTTCATGCGTAAAGTCTGTGAACTCTGACAGCACTTCAGGAAAACTGTCAGCCACAGCCACGTTAATGGAGACCACAGCTGAGCGAGAGGGCTGTCCGTTATCCTCCACAACAACAGTGAGTTTCTGTTTGACAGCATCTTTATCAGTCACTTGTCGCACAGTTCTTATTTCTCCATTCTGTAAACCCACTTCAAACAGCGCTCTGTCTGTAGCTTTCTGTAGTTTATAGGAGAGCCAGGCATTCTGTCCAGAGTCCACATCAACAGCCACCACTTTAGTGACGAGATATCCAACATCTGCAGCACGAGGCACAATCTCAGCCACCACTGAACCGCCAGTCTGTACTGGATACAGAACCTGAGGAGCGTTGTCATTCTGATCTTGGATTATAATGTCCAAAGTCACATTAGTACTGAGGGGTGGATAGCCTCCATCTTGTGCTTTCACACAGACACTAACACTTTTCATTTGCTCATAGTCAAACCCGCGCAGCGCGTGTACCACTCCACTGTCAGCATTTACTGATATAAAAGAGGAAACAGGGGATCCACCCACTGTAGTTTCATCTAGAAGATACGAAATACGAGCGTTCTGGTTCCAGTCATCATCTTGAGCACTCAGAGTAAATATGGACAAACCAGGTGAATTATTTTCAGTAACAAATGCAGTGTAAACAGTCTTATGAAACCTGGGCGGATTGTCATTAACATCTGATACTTTCAGATTTAAAGTTTTCTGACTGGAAAGCGCAGGAGACCCTGAATCTGTAGCTGTGATTGTGATGTTATATTCGACCACACGTTCACGATCTAAAGCAGCGTCAGTCACTAAAGTGTAATAATTCCGCAGTGAAGACTGAAGTTTGAATGGTGTGTTTCGATCAGTTGTACAGTCAACGTGTCCATTGTCTCCTGCATCTAGATCTTTGACACTGAAAATTGCGATAGTGGTTCCAACAGTTGCGTCTTCCGTAACTGGACTTGAAAATGACATAACACTGATAACTGGTGCATTATCATTAACATCAATTAAATCAACTATGACTTTAGCAGAGTCTCCTAAACCACCTTGGTCCTTTGCTTCGATATCAATTTCGTATTTTTTTGCTTTTTCGTAATCAAGCACTCCATTTAGAGTTATAACACCATTGGTTTCATTTAACTCAAATATCTCACCAATGACTTTTATATTTGTAAAACTGTAAAAAATTAATTTATTAGCACCGCTGTCAGCATCACTTGCATTAACTGTTGTTATGTAAGTTCCCTTTGGCAAATGTTCTGCTATTGTTGCTCTGTAAACTGTCTGGTTGAACACTGGCGCGTTGTCATTTACATCTAGTACATTCACCGCTATTTTCACGTTACCTGATCTTTGCGGATTTCCTCCATCAATTGCTGTAAGAGTGAGAGAAAGTAGTGGATGTTGTTCTCTATCTAACGGTTTCTGAAGCACCATTTCAGCATATTTGACACCGCCTTGTCGTGCGTGCTGTTTTAAAATAAAATTATCATTCGGTGATAAGACATAATTTTGGAGAGCATTCACGCCCACATCAGGATCATCTGCGCTTCCTAGTAAGAAACGAGCCCCAGGCGCGGCTGATTCACTTATTTCAAGGTGAATTTCATTTTTAGGAAATGTCGGTGAGTGATCGTTTACATCCAATATTTCAACCGTAACGTGATGTAGCTCCATTGGATTATCAAGTATTATTTCAAATGTGAAGCTGCACGGAGTGGTTTCAGCGCAAAGCTGCTCTCGGTCAATTCTCTCTTTCACAACCAAAATCCCTTTGTCTGTTTTCAGCTCTACGTATTCAGTGCTGTCGCCAGACACGATACGAGCCCGACCCGAGCGCAGTCTTTGAGCATCCAGACCAAGATCATGAGCTATATTCCCGATAAGAGATCCTTTCTTCATTTCCTCTGGAACTGAGTAACGAATCTGTGCGTTTGTGTTTGAGATCAAGCAAACGGCCATGATGAATAAAACCCTCCATAGGAAAACACCATCCAATGGCTGTCCTCGCGATTGAGAATAATGGATTCTGTTAGTATTTGCTGAAATCACAAACATTTTTCTAAATATTATTTTTTTTAGTTTGCAGGCTTTAGGTAGATTATGTTCAGCAATAGAAACATTCACGAATAATCCAGCTCGGTTGCTTTTAGTTAGTGACAGTGTCCCTTCCTCGACTCTCTTTAGTCTCCTCCACAATCTCCTAACCAGCATCAGCACAGCTCCTCCAATCACAGGAGATCACCTACATGCTTTTCTACAAATCAACAGCGGCCCTTAGAGTTGAGAACGAGAAATGACACCAATGAAAGCACTGAAATGTCTCAAAACTAGAATTGCATTCCGTCCTTTGATCTCAACAAAAATTGAACAGGATAATATATCCCAAAACAACTATATAATCAAACAACCTTTCAACTCTCATAATACATTTAATATTGTTTTACGTTTAGTAGTAAAAAGAGTAGTAACATGTGAGATAACCTCCTTTATGGATAGAACCTTATGAATGAGTTTTTCTTTTTTTTAAAGATAATGCTGTACAATCAGCTTCCGGTCGTTAACACTGGATAATGCACTATGAACTAACAATGAACAATATAACATTTGATAGGTCAGATTTGTTTAACAGATATATTATTGTTTATTGCAAATTAATTTTCGGTCAAAACACGTTAACAATCATTGATTCATACAACCTAAAATATGTTAAAATGTTATAAATGTATATACAAAATGTATAATTATCTATATAAATAAATATTGTAAAAATGCTTTTTATTTTTAGTTCATGGTTGCTAATGCATTAATTAATGTTAATGAACTGAACCTTATTGTAAAGTGTTACAGATAATGTAAAAGGTTTTTTTTAAATTACTATAGCCACCCCAACTTAATAATAATTCATTACATGTATATAGCACTTTACACAGAATGGGAAAATCTCACCAACCACCACCAATTTACTGCATGTTGTTTCAACATTATTTCAGCCTTTTAAAGAACAGGCGATCTTACCATTTCTTGCAATTCTGGATCTTCTAAGAAGTTATTTTCTTTCATTGCGCGCTGCATCGTCTCAGTGAAACTCGGGTCCACCACTAACACACTCTGTCCACCGAGTGTAGAAAACTTACAGTCACTCTTCCTCGAGTCAGTCGTCATGCACACTTCATAATTATACCCGTGCGGCAGAGTTCCAGTGACTCCTGTGTCTGCGTAATGCGGTGGATAGTACGGAATAACAGGCAGATTGGACTGATAGACGAAGCGAGATTGTCTCCATCTGTAGATCTTTACTGATATTATCACAACCACACAAGTGATAAATAGGAAAGAAACAGCGGCCAGTGCGAGGACTAAATAAAAAGTCAGGTTGTCGTTATATTGTTTTTCATGCGTAAAATCTGTGAACTCTGACAGCACTTCAGGGAAACTATCAGCCACAGCCACGTTAATGGAGACCACAGCTGAGCGAGAGGGCTGTCCGTTATCCTCCACAACAACAGTGAGTTTCTGTTTGACAGCATCTTTATCAGTCACTTGTCGCACAGTTCTTATTTCTCCATTCTGTAAACCCACTTCAAACAGCGCTCTGTCTGTAGCTTTCTGTAGTTTATAGGAGAGCCAGGCATTCTGTCCAGAGTCCACATCAACAGCCACCACTTTAGTGACGAGATATCCAACATCTGCAGCACGAGGCACAATCTCAGCCACCACTGAACCGCCAGTCTGTACTGGATACAGAACCTGAGGAGCGTTGTCATTCTGATCTTGAATAGTAATTTTCACAGTCACGTTACTACTGAGTGGAGGAGAGCCTCCATCTTGCGCCTTTACCCGGAATTGGAAATGTTTCAGTGTCTCATAGTCAAAAGAGCGTATAGCTGTAACCAGTCCGCTGTCAGGTTGCACTGACACATATGATGAGACAGAGACTCCATTAACAGTGCTGTCTTCTAGAATATAATAAACACGAGCATTCTGATTCCAATCAGCATCACTGGCTTTAACTGAAAATATAGAGACACCAGGTGCGTTATTCTCCACCACACAGGCCTCATATATAGTTTTCTCAAAGACAGGAGCATTGTCATTCACATCTGATATCTGCACACGGAGAGAGACACTGCTGGAGAGCGCGGGAACTCCCTCATCAGTACATATTACACTGATATTGTATTCTGATTCTCTCTCTCTGTCCAGTTCCTGTTCCGTTTGCAAGCTGAAGAAACTGCTGGATGACGCAATAGCAAAAGGAATATTGTCATTTATGTGGCAATGAACCTGACCATTCAATCCGGAGTCAAGATCATTTACGTTTAACATTGCCACAACAATCCCAGGTCTAGACTCCTCTGATATTGAATTTGACATAGATACGATGCTTATCATTGGTTTGTTATCATTCATATCTGTGAGATCAATTATAACTTTACATGAATCAGACAATCCTCCTTGGTCGCGTGCTTGTATGTTTATTTGATAACGACTTGCTTTCTCAAAGTCAGCTGAGCCTTTTAAGGATATTTCCCCGCTTCGTGCGTCAACCATGAATAAATCATTTACATCTCCAGTGCCTGACATGTAGTACGTTATAATTGCATTCGAACCTTCATCTGCATCAGAAGCGCTGACGGACGTGATAACAGTGTCTTTAGGTGTATTTTCAGCAAAAGTGGCTTTGTACACCCTATGATTGAACACAGGGGGATTGTCGTTATTATCTAGCACTGTTACATGTATCCGCACAGTACTGGTCAACTGAGGCTCTCCTCCATCCATTGCTGTTAACAACAAAGATAACTGTTTTTTATTTTCACGGTCTAGAGTCTTTTGTAGCACCATCTCCATGTTTCTGTCGCCATCCGTTTGACTTTGCAAACTCAATACAAAATTATCTGTCGGTTGAAGTGAATAGCTTAGATGACAATTAGATCCAACATCCAGATCAATCGCGTTTTCCAACATGAATCTGGCTCCGGTTATGGCTGACTCGCTTATTTCAAATGTAATCTCACCTTTTGGAAAACTCGGAGCGTTATCATTTATGTCGGTAATTTCCACTGTGACATCGTACCATTCAAATGGATTTTCCAAAATCAGCTGAACATGTAAAGCGCAAGGAGTCGTTTTAGCACAAAGAGCCTCGCGGTCTATTTTCTCCTCGGTGAGAAGTATCCCCCTCTCATTATTCAATCCGACGAATTCGGTGTTGTCTCCAGCAAATATGCGCGCTTTCCCTGACTTCAGTCTTTTTAAATCCAAACCCAAACCTTGGGAAATATTTCCGACGATAGACCCTTTTGCCATTTCTTCTGGAATGGAGTAGCTGATCTGCCCTCTCACCAAGCATTGGAACATAATCATAAAACACGCCGCAGCCTGCCAGATTTCAGAGCTGGCCATTGTTTCCCTTTGTTCTGCAGATCCTGAAGATCGGTTAGTTTAAATAGAAAATAAAGACGTTATGTGAAATGAAGAACCAGCATACAATCTACTGTACGGTGAGGATATCTATTTACAGAACATCCGACAAAATAATTGTTTCGAGTCATCAGGCTTTCGTTCGCTGTTCTCTGACATTACTGAATTCTGAGGGTATGGTATGAGAAATATGGAGCGACTGCGCTGCGTTGATCAACAGCGGCCCTACGAGCCTTATCTTTGAATTGCATTCATTTGTTTCTGATAAATCACAGAAGAGCAGCTGGGAGTGATTTGTCAAAATAAAAAAAGTATTTAAATTATTATTATCATTATTATTAATAATAATAATGATAATGAATAATAATAATAATTTGTTGCAAAATTATTTGACTGAACTCAAATAATAATAATAATAATAATAATAATAATTTGTTGTAAAATTATTTGACTGAACTCAAAAGAAGTTAAAACAATGACTGCGTTTGGCGCTGTCCAGTGGTGCTGAAAACTGTCCGTGCCATCTTAAACGAATAGCATACTGTTTCGCATTTTCTGCAGTGCCCTTTAAGCGATTAGCCATCAAATACACCATTAGAGAACAAACAATTTATGAGAAAGGTATTTAAAAGGGGCGTTATCTTACCAATTCCGAATGACTGTTTTTTTCTATAAAGTTATTTTCCTGGATTGCGCGCTGCATCGTCTCAGTGAAACTCGGGTCCACCACTAACACACTCTGTCCACCGAGTGTAGAAAACTTACAGTCACTCTTCCTCGAGTCAGTCGTCATGCACACTTCATAATTATACCCGTGCGGCAGAGTTCCAGTGACTCCTGTGTCTGCGTAATGCGGTGGATAGTACGGAATAACAGGCAGATTGGACTGATAGACGAAGCGAGATTGTCTCCATCTGTAGATCTTTACTGATATTATCACAACCACACAAGTGATAAATAGGAAAGAAACAGCGGCCAGTGCGAGAACTAAATAAAAAGTCAGGTTGTCATTATATTGTTTTTCATGCGTAAAGTCTGTGAACTCTGACAGCACTTCAGGAAAACTGTCAGACACAGCCACGTTAATGGAGACCACAGCTGAGCGAGAGGGCTGTCCGTTATCCTCCACAACAACAGTGAGTTTCTGTTTGACAGCATCTTTATCAGTCACTTGTCGCACAGTTCTTATTTCTCCATTCTGTAAACCCACTTCAAACAGCGCTCTGTCTGTAGCTTTCTGTAGTTTGTAGGAGAGCCATGCATTCTGTCCAGAGTCCATATCAACAGCCACCACTTTAGTGACGAGATATCCAACATCTGCAGCACGAGGCACAATCTCAGCGACCACTGAACCGCCAGTCTGTACTGGATACAGAACCTGAGGAGCGTTGTCATTCTGATCTTGGATTATAATGTCCAAAGTCACATTAGTGCTGAGGGGTGGAGAGCCTCCATCTTGTGCTTTCACACAGACACTAACACTTTTCATTTGCTCATAGTCAAAACCGCGCAGCGCGTGTACCACTCCACTGTCAGTATTTACTGATATAAAAGAGGAAACAGGGGATCCACCCACTGTAGTTTCATCTAGAAGATACGAAATACGAGCGTTCTGGTTCCAATCATCATCTTGAGCACTCAGAGTAAATATGGATAAACCAGGTGAATTATTTTCAGTAACAAATGCAGTGTAAACAGTCTTATGAAACCTGGGCGGATTGTCATTAACATCTGATACTTTCAGATTTAAAGTTTTCTGACTGGAAAGCGCAGGAGACCCTGAATCTGTAGCTGTGATTGTGATGTTATATTCGACCACACGTTCACGATCTAAAGCAGCGTCAGTCACTAAAGTGTAATAATTCCGCAATGAAGACTGAATTTTGAATGGTGTGTTTCTATCAATTGTACAGTCAACGTGTCCATTGTCTCCTGCATCTAGATCCTTGACACTGAAAATAGCGATAGTGGTTCCAACAGTTGCGTCTTCCGTAACTGGACTTGAAAATGACATAACACTGATAACTGGTGCATTATCATTAACATCAATTAAATCAACTATGACTTTAGCTGAGTTTCCTAAACCGCCTTGGTCTTTTGCTTCGATATCAATTTCGTATTTTTTTGCTTTTTCGTAGTCAATAAGTCCAGTTAGTATTATAACACCTGTTTTTTCATCGATTTTAAAAATGTCATTTATGTTACCTTTAAAATTAGCAAAACTGTATGAAATCAAACTATTTGCACCACTGTCTGCGTCACTAGCATTAACAATTGTAATATAGGTTCCTTTAGGTGAATTTTCTTTTACTGTTGCTCTGTAAACTGACTGGTTGAACTCTGGCGCGTTGTCATTTGCATCTAGTACAGTGATTTCTATTTTCATATTACCAGATCTTTGAGGGTTTCCTCCGTCGACCGCTGTGAGAATGAGAGACAGTCGTGGATGCTGCTCTCTGTCTAGAGGTTTCTGAAGCACCATTTCAGCATATTTGATTCCATCGGGGCGCGATTGTTCTTTAAGAATAAATTTATCATTAGGTGACATAGTATAATGTTGTAGTGCGTTTAGACCTACATCAGGATCATCTGCGCCTCCCAGTAAAAAAAGAGCTCCTGGTGCGGCTGATTCACTTATTTCAAGATTAATTTCATCCTTTGCAAATGTTGGAGAGTGATCGTTTACATCCAATATTTCTACCGTAACCTGATGTAGCTCCATTGGATTATCAAGTATTATTTCAAATGTGAAGCTGCACGGAGTGGTTTCAGCGCAAAGCTGCTCTCGGTCAATTCTCTCCTTCACAACCAAAATCCCTTTGTCTGTTTTCAGCTCTACGTATTCAGTGCTGTCGCCAGACACGATACGAGCCCGACCCGAGCGCAGTCTTTGAGCATCCAGACCAAGATCATGAGCTATATTCCCGATAAGAGATCCTTTCTTCATTTCCTCTGGAACTGAGTAACGAATCTGTGCGTTTGTGTTTGAGATCAAGCAAATGGCCATGATGAATAAAACCCTCCATAGGAAAACACAATCCAATGGCTGTCCTCGCGATTGAGAATAATGAATTATTTTAGTACTTGCTGAAATCACAAACATGTTTCTAAATTAAGTTTTTTAGGTTGCAGGCTTTAGCGTAGATGGTGTTCAGCAATAGAAACATTCACGAATAATCCAGCTCGGTTGCTGTTAGTCAGTGACTGTGTCCCTTCCTCGACTCTCTTTAGTCTCCTTCACAATCTCCTAACCAGCATCAGCACAGCTCCTCCAATCACAGGAGATCACCTACATGCTTTTCTACAAATCAACAGCGGCCCTTAGAGTTGAGAACGAGAAACGACACTAATAAAAAGCCATGAAGCGTCTCGGAACAAGGATTCAATTCCGTCATTTGCTTCCAACAAAAATGAAATAGAACTATACAATCAAACAACGCTCCAACGTTCTCGTAATTTTTTTTTATCTTACTGTACATTGCAGTACTTAAATATTAGAAATCAATTATTATTCCTTAGTTAGGGGAAATAAGGTAACACATTATTTGTATGGTCCCTTTTGAACATTCTGTTATAAGTAACTTTGCATCTACATGTCAACTAATTCGCATTACAGTATGTAGACTGTCTGCTTAATATCTGCTAACATTTAATTGAGATGGTCCTCCAACAGACATTCTGACTATAAGTAACTTTGAAAGTACGTGTCAACTTATTCTAACCCTACCAGTCTACTAATACTTTACTAACACTCTAATGCGAGTCTATAGAAATGTAGGTGCAGCGTTACTTATAGTCAACAGAATGTGTTAAAGGACCATCAAAATAAAGTGACACTGAAAATATTTTCAAATTCATTTTAAAGTAAATGTAAGCTTGAATTAATGTCAGTGCCACAAATCACCTATTTTAGAGACAGAACATAGTCTTTAATATCAAATAAAGATTTTAAGGTAACACTTTACAATAAGGCTCAATTCCTTCACATTATTTAATGCTTTAGGAATCATGAACTAACAATTAATAATATTTATAGAAATTATTAAAATAGTTTAATAATATCAAATGTACTAATATGTTCGGAAATTGTATAAATAACGTATTATGAACAAATATGAGCAATAATACATTAATATATTAATACATTCCATAAAATGGTAATTAATGGTAAATGATAAGTAATGCATTAACTTACGTTATCGAACCAAATCTTATTGTATACCAATGTTAAATAGTGCAAATGATCTCTAATATTACAAACCACGACTTAATGTATAAGTTTAATATTATATAGACTTTGTTTAATTATTTTTTTAATATACATAACAGTTGATCTTACCATTTCAGGACACTTGTTGTCGGGATCTTCTAAGAAGTTATTTTCTTTCATTGCGCGCTGCATCGTCTCAGTGAAACTCGGGTCCACCACTAACACACTCTGACCACCGAGTGTAGAAAACTTACAGTCACTCTTCCTCGAGTCAGTCGTCATGCACACTTCATAATTATACCCGTGCGGCAGAGTTCCAGTGACTCCTGTGTCTGCGTAATGCGGTGGATAGTACGGAATAACAGGCAGATTGGACTGATAGAGAAAGCGAGATTGTCTCCATCTGTAGATCTTTACTGATATTATCACAACCACACAAGTGATAAATAGGAAAGAAACAGCGGCCAGAGCGAGAACTAAATAAAAAGTCAGGTTGTCGTTATATTGTTTTTCATGCGTAAGGTCTGTGAACTCTGACAGCACTTCAGGAAAACTGTCAGCCACAGCCACGTTAATGGAGACCACAGCTGAGCGAGAGGGCTGTCCGTTATCCTCCACAACAACAGTGAGTTTCTGTTTGAAAGCATCTTTATCAGTCACTTGTCGCACAGTTCTTATTTCTCCATTCTGTAAACCCACTTCAAACAGCGCTCTGTCTGTAGCTTTCTGTAGTTTATAGGAGAGCCAGGCATTCTGTCCAGAGTCCACATCAACAGCCACCACTTTAGTGACGAGATATCCAACATCTGCAGCACGAGGCACAATCTCAGCCACCACTGAACCGCCAGTCTGTACTGGATACAGAACCTGAGGAGCGTTGTCATTCTGATCTTGGATTATAATGTCCAAAGTCACATTAGTGCTGAGAGGTGGAGAGCCTCCATCTTGTGCTTTCACACAGACACTAACACTTTTCATTTGCTCATAGTCAAAACCGCGCAGCGCGTGTACCACTCCACTGTCAGCATTTACTGATATAAAAGAGGAATAAGGGGATCCACCCACTGTAGTTTCATCTATAAGATACGAAATACGGGCGTTCTGGTTCCAATCATCATCTTGAGCACTCAGAGTAAATATGGACAAACCAGGTGAATTATTTTCAGTAACATATGCAGTGTAAACACTCTTTTGAAACCTGGGCGGATTGTCATTAACATCTGATACTTTCAGATTTAAAGTTTTCTGACTGGAAAGCGCAGGAGACCCTGAATCTGTAGCTGTAATTGTGATGTTATATTCGACCACACGTTCACGATCTAAAGCAGCGTCAGTCACTAAAGTGTAATAATTCCGCAGTGAAGACTGAAGTTTGAATGGTGTGTTTCTATCAATTGTACAGTCAACGTGTCCATTGTCTCCTGCATCTAGATCCTTGACACTGAAAATAGCGATAGTGGTTCCAACAGTTGCGTCTTCCGTAACTGGACTTGAAAATGACATAACACTGATAACTGGTGCATTATCATTAACATCAATTAAATCAACTATGACTTTAGCCGAATTTCCTAAACCACCCTGATCTTTGGCCTCGATTCCAATTTCGTGTTTCTTTGCTCTTTCATAGTCAAATATTCCAGTTAGAGTGATAACACCTGTTTTTCTATCGATTTTAAAAATGTCATTTCTGTTACTTTTGAAATTAGCGAAACTGTAGGAAATTAAACTATTTGCTTCACTGTCTGCATCACTAGCATTTACAGTTGTAATATAAGTACCCTTAGGCGCATTTTCCGCTATTGTTGTCCTGTAAACTGACTGGTTAAAGATAGGTGCGTTATCATTTATATCTAGTAGGGTGACTTCTATTTTCATATTACCAGATCTTTGAGGGTTTCCTCCATCAACCGCTGTGAGAATGAGAGACAGTCGTGGATGCTGCTCTCTGTCTAGAGGTTTCTGAAGCACCATTTCAGCATATTTGATTCCATCTGGGCTCGAATGTTCCTTTAGAATAAAATAATCATTAGGTGACATAGTATAATGTTGTAGTGCGTTTAGACCTACATCAGGATCATCTGCGCTTTCCAGTAAAAAAAGAGCTCCAGGCGCGGCTGATTCACTTATTTCAAGATTAATTTCATCGTTAGGAAATGTTGGTGAATGATCGTTTACATCCAATATTTCTACCGTAACGTGATGTAGCTCCATTGGATTATCAAGTATTATTTCAAATGTGAAGCTGCACGGAGTGGTTTCAGCGCAAAGCTGCTCTCGGTCAATTCTCTCCTTCACAACCAAAATCCCTTTGTCTGTTTTCAGCTCTACGTATTCAGTGCTGTCGCCAGACACGATACGAGCCCGACCCGAGCGCAGTCTTTGAGCATCCAGACCAAGATCATGAGCTATATTCCCGATAAGAGATCCTTTCTTCATTTCCTCTGGAACTGAGTAACGAATCTGTGCATTTGTGTTTGAGATCAAGCAAACAACCACGACGAATAAGACCCTCCATAGGATAACACGGTCCAATGGCTGTCCTCGCGATTGGTAGCAATTAATCATCTTACATAAAGTAATCACAAACATTTTATACATTATGTATTCAAATTACAAAATGTATTTGATGCTTATCAATTGGAATATCCACAAAGTAATCCAGCTCGGTTGCTGTTAGTCAGTGACTATGTCCCATCATGGACTCTCTTTAGTCTCCTTCACAATCTCCAAACCAGCATCAGCACAGCTCCACCAATCACAGGATATCACCTACATGCTTTTCTACAAATCAACAGCGGCCCTTAGAGTTGAGAGCGAGAAACGACACTAATAAAAAGCCATGAAGCGTCTCAGAACTAGAACTGAATTCCGTTATTTGGTCTGAACAAAAATGAAACAACATAATAACAAACCCAACAGAACAATATAGTAAGGCAATAACCCTCCAATATTAATGTGACAATTAATCCTACTGTACTCTGAGTATTGTAAAGACAAAAAAAAAAAATAATAATTTTACCTAGTTAGATAAGAATACATTTAATAATAATACTTTATTATTCGTTCGTTAACATTAGATATGGCATTAGATATTCAATAATGCATAATACTTATACAGCATTCATTATTCTAGGGTACTTTAATAAAGTAATATAACTTTTTTAAATCAGTGATCGTTCAAAGTATATTAACTATAGTAATACATACAACTTAATTTGTTGAAAATGCATTATTAAATATAGAAGTTAACAAAAACCTAAGATCAATAAAAATCACAAAAAAATCAAAATAAATCCGTTTTAGTTTTGTAAATGGTTACAGATTTAATACAGTCGCCCAGACTTTATAATGTTATAATATTCACAATTTATTGTATGTAATTTTAATATTATATAGAATTTATTTCAGTCACTATAAGAACGTCTTACCATTTTTTGCAATTCTGGATCTTCTAAGCAGTTTTGTTCCTTGATTGCGCGCTGCATCGTCTCAGTGAAACTCGGGTCCACCACTAACACACTCTGTCCACCGAGTGTAGAAAACTTACAGTCACTCTTCCTCGAGTCAGTCGTCATGCACACTTCATAATTATACCCGTGCGGCAGAGTTCCAGTGACTCCTGTGTCTGCGTAATGCGGTGGATAGTACGGAATAACAGGCAGATTGGACTGATAGAGAAAGCGAGATTGTCTCCATCTGTAGATCTTTACTGATATTATCACAACCACACAAGTGATAAAGAGGAAAGAAACAGCGGCCAGTGCGAGAACTAAATAAAAAGTCAGGTTGTCGTTATATTGTTTTTCATGCGTAAAGTCTGTGAACTCTGACAGCACTTCAGGAAAACTGTCAGCCACAGCCACGTTAATGGAGACCACAGCTGAGCGAGAGGGATGTCCGTTATCCTCCACAACAACAGTGAGTTTCTGTTTGACAGCATCTTTATCAGTCACTTGTCGCACAGTTCTTATTTCTCCATTCTGTAAACCCACTTCAAACAGCGCTCTGTCTGTAGCTTTGTGTAGTTTATAGGAGAGCCAGGCATTCTGTCCAGAGTCCACATCAACAGCCACCACTTTAGTGACGAGATATCCAACATCTGCAGCACGAGGCACAATCTCAGCCACCACTGAACTGCCAGTCTGTACTGGATACAGAACCTGTGGAGCGTTGTCATTCTGATCTTGAATATTAATATTTATTGTCACTTCACAGCTCAAGGGCGGGGATCCTCCGTCTCGAGCTGTCACGTTAAAGGCAAACGATTTTAACTGTTCAAAATCAAATGATTTCACTGCATGAATAGTTCCAGTAAGTGAATCCACAGACACGAGAAAACTTATCGGCACACCACGCATGTCTTCATCCTTCAGGAAGTAGGACAATTGCGCGTTGGGACCCCAGTCAGCATCTTTTGCTTTAACAGTCAGTATAGTCAGACCAGGAGAATTATTTTCACCAACAAATGTTTTATATTCGTCAGAATCGAATATAGGCGGGTTGTCATTGACATCGGATATTTTTACCGTCAGTATTTTGCTTGCGTGTCGCGCTGGACTTCCTTGGTCTGATACCAAGATCGATATGTTATATTCAGCAAAACTTTCTCGATCAAGCATATCATCAGTAATTAAACTATAATAGTCTGTGAGAGATGACTCGATATTAAACGGTATGTTTTGATTTAGTGAGCAATGAACAAGACCGTTTTTACCGGAATCCGCGTCCTCTACGTTAATGACTGCAACAGTTGTTCCCAGTGGAGAATTTTCAGGAAGGGTGTTTGAGAAGGACATAAGCTGAATGGTGGGAGAGTTGTCATTTTCATCAATCACATCTATGACATATTTGCATGTATCTGCGAGACCTCCTTTATCTCTTGCATGAATGTTTAACTGATAACTATTTTGAGATTCATAATCTAAATGACCAAGAATTGTAATCTCACCTGTATCTGTGTTTATCTCAAAAAGCTCCCTCGCTTCTTTGCTGGCTACAGCGAAGGAATAGGAAACATGGCCATTTGCACCTTCGTCAGCATCAGCAGCACTAACAGAACCAATAACAGTACCAGCAGGAGACTCTTCCCTTACTTCAGTTTTAAATACTGACTGTTTACACACCGGGGCATTATCATTAACATCCAGAACAGTAATATGAATTTTTACAGTGCCTGATTTTTGAGGTGATCCACCATCAGCTGCTACAAGAACCAATTTAATCTCATCGCGCTCCTCTCGATCTAGTTCTCGCTGTAAAACCATCTCAATGTATTTGTTGCCATCGGTCTGACTATGCACCTCCAGTTTAAAACTATCAGCTGGATGTAGTTTATAGCTCTGTATACTATTCAGACCGACATCTGTATCTATAGCGCTATCCAAAGGGAAGCGAGCTCCTAAAACTGCATTTTCAGCTATTTTCAGGTTAACATTTTCTTTCGGAAATAACGGAGCATTATCGTTTATATCTTGCACCTCAACAGTGACTCGGTGCAGCTGGATAGGGTTTTCAACGATAAGATCAAAACTGAAGCTGCAAGGCGTCGTTTGCTTACAGAGCTCCTCGCGATCTATTCTTTCTTTAACTACTAGAGTTCCTTTGTCTCTGCTCAGATCGACATACTGTCGTCCTCCCTTTGTTACGACACGAGCTTTTCCAGATATGAGTCTACTTATCTCTATCCCCAGATCCTTAGCGATGTTGCCTACGAATGATCCCTCTGGCATTTCCTCCGGGATGGAATATCTCACATTGCAATTTACGACGTCCATTCCGCTGAAGCAAAGAATGAAAAACACAACCTGCCATTTTGAATGCGTAAAAACCATCCACATACTGTCTGAAATGCTTAATAAGCAGCAGAAAGCCATCTTGATAAACTGTGTGGTCAAACAAAGTGGGATTAAACACGAAAAAACATTACATTCTTAAATCCAAAATAACGCATTCATGTTCTTTCCGTCGAAGAAACGCTGCATATGTCCAACCGAGCCAGTAAGGGACTGGCAATACAGACTATACAGAGAGAGACTCTCTCTTCTCACATGTTAATCAACAGCGGCACTCAGAGCTTTAAAGTCGCAAATACAAGACCAGTAGCCTCACTGCGGCTGCAACCAAATGTAAAACATCAGTAAAATAATAATAATAATAATAATTATTATTATTAGTAGTAGAAGTAGTATGTAACTGACTCATGTTGATATATATGTGACTGGGTCAAAGGCTGTTCAATCAGTAACCAACACAACACAGCAACAGGCAACTGGATGAAACCGTTGACCATTTCAGCACCATCGGAATGAACAGCACCCAACGAATTCAATACAGAACACAATGTTCCACTCTCAGACTCTCATTGAAATGAAAGGTAGAACAAAAACTGGAATAGTGTCAACAGGTTGTGCCCGATTTTGCAAGTGAATATGTTTATGGTCAATTGTTCAAACAGATATCTATAGCTTTTCAGTCTCTATTAGACACATAATAATGTACAATCATCCATCATAAGCATGCATCTCAGTTAAATTAGAGTAAAAAAGAGTTTTTCTCACCTATAGAAGAAAATCCAGCATTGGTTCACAGAGGATAGCATGAAAGACAAAAATGAGATTAAAGTTAGGGCTGTTTACATTAAACCTTCAAACCATTAAAGCTGGGTAAAAAACCCTACAATTTAGGGTTAAACAAAATCAATAGTAGGCCTAATCATACTTTTACTTTTTTTTATTTTAAGCATAGAGGTATATTATTATATATTATTATTATAATTATTATTAAGATTTTTTTTCTTGTTATAAAGAAAGTGAGTAAATTGAGTAAAGTGACAAAAACTTTTATTAATTTGTCTTGGAACTTTAACTTTATTTGACAATTACTTTTTTGTGACATCCACAGTACAGCAGTACAATATAAAATTTAAATTTTTTCAGACACTTTCTTACAATTAACAGGCATTTACAGATTAATTAATACACATGTGTAGTTTGAAGTCGTTAAATAAACATGGCAGAAAACCTTAAATGACTATAACTCTGAGAGAGAATAATGTTGACTGCACTCTAAAAAGTGAACATGTGCAGTTGTTGCTTTAAGGAGGTATTTAAACCTGATTCTACCTACAAATTCTATTTTTGTTGTTGTAACCTACTTCAATCTGTTTAATGTAACATAAAACAAGGAAATGCTGTTTTAACTTAATTGAGTTGCATTGACCGAAAATACAATTTCCATTAAAGCTCAGGATGGACACATTTGACACATGAGCACCTGTTTCTTGCTGATCGGCAAATTTTGCTTCAGTGAAAAATTGTGATTTGGGGTTATTAAACACATTAAGTTGCATCATTGTGGAAATTGCAATTGACAGCGCTACTCTTCAGCACAATGGTAACCACAAAATTCAATAACAGACGCTCCTCTAAATGTCCAACATTAAACATTAACATAATATCTTTCATCATAACATCAAATGCAGCCCTGGGAAGTGGATATGTAGTTCCCAGTATGCTTTGCAAGGGACTGCATTTGGAGAGTAAATTTAGGTATTAGGTGTTATTTTATGTGTTTTTCAGTAAAGGGAAGATATGTTGTTAGATTATGTTAATGTTCAGTTATGTTCAACATTTAGAGTTGTTTCTGTTACTGAATTGTGTGGTTACCATTGTGCTTAGGCTGTGGGTACTATGTTCTGTTCTAAAACCAACTTTAGCCGGAAATAACATTATTCAAAATCGCTATAAAGCCAAAACAATCTCTGTTACCGTAAATTGTATGTTTATCTCTGTAAAGCTGCTTTGAAACAATCTCCATTGTTAAAAGCACTATATAAATGAAGATGACTTGACTTGACTTGACTTGACTTGACTATGGTCAGTCAGACAGTCTGATACCCGTCTTTACTTAGTGGTTCATTATTTACATTATGCTTATTGATGAACAACAGGTTTAATCCAACTAAACTGTTTATTTATTATTATTATTATTTAAATGAACTAAATTAAATGTAAGGTTAGGGTCAATTAAATTATTTAAGGGTAATGAATTTTTTTTAGTGTATTTACATAAATGAGGAAAAGGACTTTCATCATATTGAAATAAAAAAAAGAAGAAGAAGATTTTATCAAACTTATTAAGTAATTTTACCTAGCTGGAGAAATCATGTTATATCTACAGACAGTTATGCTTCAGTAAAGTCTTGTTTTTCAGGTTGGTTAAAATCAGTTTAATAAGTTTAAAATTATTGATTTTTATTTCAACAAAACCAGTTATTGTAGACCACATGAAGTAAATGTTTTAAGTTGAACCGACTAAACATTTTTTCCAGTGTGTAAAACTGACAACACAGATCAGAACTTTGTACAATCTCATAAATGCTTTTACAGAACTCAAACCAGGAAAATGAAGAGGTAGCAACCCTCATACTCACGCACACTAACAAAAACAAATAAAAAAAACAAATAAAGAAATAAAAATGTGAAGTCAAAATAATCAAATTATTTATTTACCAGAGTGGGGTAGCTTAGTCCTTTATCAGTGGTGTTACTACATGTGTCTGTTGTATTTGTGTCACACAAAGTTTGAGAGAAAGGGACCGTGTTATCATTGTAAGAAGTGATGAACTTGAAGTCACTTGTGCGCGAGCCTGTGGTTAGATAAGCGTCATAATTGTAAGAGCTGCGGAGAGTTCCTGCTCCATCCACCTCTGCATAGTTGGGAGGCAGATAGGCGCTGGGAACAGCAACTGCTCCATCAAACAACAGTCTGGGCTTTCTCCTGTGACAAAACTTCACTGCCAACATCAGTATGATGAACGTCAGGAAGAAGGTGCACACGGAAACTAATGCAATGATCAAGTATGATGTTAATTTAGAGTTGTTCTCCTCATAAGTCATATCTTTAAGTTTAGGAACTTCAGAAAGGTTGTCAGAAATGAGTAAATTCACAGCACAGGTTGTAGACAGAGACGGCTGACCGTTATCCTTCACTGAAATAACAAGGTTCTGCTTCATATTGTCAGACTCAGAAATGTCTCGTTGTGTTTTGATCTCTCCACTATGGAGACCAATGGAGAAAAGTCCCGGATCAGTAGATTTCAAGATCTGATAGGACAGCCATGCGTTCTGTCCAGAGTCAGCATCTACAGCGATCACCTTGGAGACCAGAGAGCCCGAGAGAGTCGCTTTAGGGACCATTTCAGTCATTAAAGACTTTCCATCTGGAACAGGGTATAATATCTGAGGAGAGTTATCATTCTCATCTGTTATGAAGACTTTCACAGTCACGTTACTGTTGAGTGGAGGAGAACCATTGTCTCTGGCAACAACTTTGACACTGAAGTTTCTGAACTGCTCATAGTCAAATGATCTTACAGCATGAATCACCCCTGTATCTCCATTAACAGACAGAAATGAGGACACTGGGACCCCATTGACTTCACTGGGTACCAGAGAGTACAGTACAGTCCCGTTCTGTCTCCAGTCTGGGTCATTTGCACTGACAGAACAAACAGAAGTGCCTGGTTTGTTATTTTCACTTATATAAGCACTGTATGTCTGCTGCTCAAATACAGGAGGATTGTCATTCACATCTGAGACAAATAAATGAATTGTCATGGATGTGGATAATGGTGGAGATCCTCCATCTGTGGCTGTGATGGTAATGTTGTAATCAGATTCTTTCTCTCGGTCTAGAGCTTTTGTAGTTACTAGAGAGAAATAGTTTTTAACAGATGGGTTCAGTTGGAAAGGAACATTTTGCTGAACAGAGCAACGAATCTGCCGGTTTTCTCCTGAGTCTTTGTCTTGAACATTAATGATTCCCACTTCAGTGCCTGGATCAGAGTTTTCAGGTATCGGGTTATTCAAAGATTTAAGGATGATTCTAGGTGGATTATCATTAACATCAGTTATATCTATGATAACTTTAGCAGTCGATACCAATCCATAGGCATCTTTGGCTTGAATTCCAACTTCATAGTTCCTTTCATTTTCATAGTCAATTTCTCCAATCACCACAATTTGTCCTGTTGTTTTATCAATAGAAAACAATCTTGCAGTTTTATCTGAAATTTTGCTGAATTCATACGTCACTTCCCCGTTTGGACCTTCATCAGCATCAGTGGCGCTCACTCTGATTATTTCTGTTCCTGAAGGTGTATTTTCAGCCAGAGTGACCTTATAAACAGACTGACTAAATACTGGGACATTATCATTGGCATCTAGAACAGTGATGTGTATGACAGCAGTGCCAGATCTCTGCGGTGAACCACCATCAGTGGCTGTGAGGATCATATCTATCTCCTTCTGCTGTTCACGATCCAGCTCCTTTTCCAATACGAGTTCTGCGTATTTCCCTGCATCTGCATTATCATGAACAATTAAAACAAAATGTTTGTTTCTCTCCAGTGAATATCCATTGACCGCGTTATGTCCAATATCTGAGTCATGAGCCTCAATCAAACGGAATCGCTGGCCTTTAACGGCTGATTCTGTGATTTCAAAATGAATACGCTCATTTGCAAATCGTGGCGCGTTGTCATTTATATCCTGAATTTGCAAAATTATTCGGTGCACTTCAAGAGGGTTTTCCAGGACGAGCTCATAACTGAGAATGCAGGACATTCGAGAACCACAAAGCTCTTCTCGGTCTATTGTCTCTGCCGCGATTAAATCACCAGTATTCAGATTAATATCACAATACCGTTTGCTGCTGTCCTCCGTGTCTATCCGAGCTTTACGAGCAGATAATTGTTTCACTTCCATCCTGAGATCCTTGGCTATATTTCCAATCACATGCTGGCGCTTCGTTTCTTCCGGAATATTGTAGCTCAGATCTGCACAGACGATTCTCAGAGGAAACAGAAGGAGAGCCACGAAAAACGCAAAGAAAGGAACTGAAAATAATCTGTATTCC